CAATGTCATTTATGTGAGAGAAATCAAGCAAATATTGGAAGTTCGAGTGAAATTCTCATTTAATTTCTAAAATTTGTAATAATATTTTGTATTTACATCCAAAAGCAATGGAGGTAGGCAGTAAAGGTAAATAAATTTCATTAACTAAATAGAATGACTTTTTAGGACCATTTAATCTTATCATGCAGCTATTGTTTCTTAAAGTCAGGAACATTTAAAGAAAACATGAACAACAAGACAACAAGTAATCGTGAATGTTTTGGAAGCTATAAAAATATAAATATTGATTAGATTTGTTTATTTATTATTGATCTATTTAAATATTGGACTTGCAAATCTTCACTTGAGCTGTCTAACGAGTTTAACAGTTTATTAGTAGTAAGTTGAAGTACTTTTCAATATTAAACTCCATTGAAAAGAAGAAGCAAACGTAAAAGCAGAGAACAGGTACATTAAAAATGCATAAAGATAAATTTTATAATAGAGGTATACATACATACATACTGCCATTACTCGCTGACGAGTATTCGACACGCATCAAAAGATGGTCACGCAAGGCGTTTTCTTTCATGAGCTTTCCTGTGACTGAAAGGTCCGATACGTGATGTTATTTGCCTACCGCACTCCGGACATAATGGTATTGAAATTTTGACGTTTCCAGTATTTTACCAAACCGTTCCGTATCAAACCGATATTTTTCAGGAACCGCTCTTTACCGTAGTTTACCGATCTGGTTCGCCTGGTTTTGCAACGGAATACAGCCTCAGTCTAATAACTATTTAATCAACATGTTCAATTTGTGTCAACGATGACAGGTATTGATAATTTCGATTCCAAATGTCTCGAGAACTATTACACGTAGCGATTTTTACCAAGAGACCTCTTTTACGTAAAAAAAGTCGTAAATGTATATTTTTTTATTCAGTAGTTTTATACAGGTACGAACGGAAAAGGTTTTACTCTTCAAACCAGTTAAAAAATATAAAGGTTGCTCCCTCTACAAGTAGGAGTCATATTGACATCAGAATCCCAAATTTCTAATGTCAAAAAACTCCTACATACCAATTTTCATCCAAATATTGACGTTACTTCAGAGATGATTTGGAAAAAATCGATATAAAAATGAAATTTCTACACCCTGTATCTCCGAAACTAAGCATTTTAGGACATATTTATCTGCAGAATATGCTGCCGAAGTTTCCGGAATACAGTTAGGACGGTCCTGTATAATAATAATTGTTTTATCTAAAGAAGCATACGGAACAAAATATAAATGTTAGGTACCCATGAATAACTTGGTTATGATATATGTATAGAGTGATGCTATTTTCTAAATGTATCATAATATTAAATACAAAATTCACAATAAATTAATCATATTTAATAAGATTACTTTTCAAAAATACATTGGCTAGAGATAGTCAATGTATTTTGAATAAATTTTAAAGATTTCAATTTGTTAAAGCTCAGAATAAAAAGCTCACAGGTAAAACTTGATTTATTCTAAAAGTAACTTGAAAACCAAAAATAGTGTAGTGGGGATCAATAGGAGACTAATTCCATCAGGATGTTGAAAAGGGAAAGAAACGTTACCATGGAACATATAAGTGTGATGACGCAAATCTCTTGGAAGGTTACTTTTGAAATATGAATATAAAATGATGCTCAATTTGAAGCTGTGCTAACAATACTGCTATTTTTCTTTAAATTTCTTTTACCAGTAGTAAAACTACGTGATGGCATAAATTACATTATACAGAGTGTAAATTGATAATTGAGGGGTTCAGAAGTGAACTGGATCAAGTCCTGGAAGATAATTATGGAGAAAATGAGAGTTAAAGTTTCTCTAAAAAAAAATCCAATATGGGTACCAAAAATCCAATATGGTTTCGCCACTGCACTGCAAGAAAATCTACAAAATAAAATAGTTATTTTTTGTAAACACTTCTGGCGTTAAACCTGAACGGAAAAAAAATAAAAAAAAATTACAAAAAAAATTCGTCATAAATAACTATTTTATTTTGTAGATTTTCTTGCAGTGCAGTGGCGAAATACCTTATTGGATTTTTTTTAAGTTTTTTAATGTTACTTAATTAAAATAAAACAAGCTGAAGAAGAAGACTTAACACAATGCTTTATTATATTTTAAATGGTATAATTGCAAACTAAAGTAACTCAAAATACAACTATGGTCATTTTTAAGAATGTTTGTTTACTTTTTTTTGGATTTGAACCATTTTATCTTTGAAAGTATTTGAAATTTTAGATATAATTGATTCATCGGTACATTCTTATTCGCCATTAAGGGATTTGTTGACTTTACATTGTCTATTAATAGTGTTTTCTTCGATTTTTATAAAAAATAATCAGGTTAAATGGTTCAGACTTTGTTTCAGTGTCTTCCATTTTATCAAAAATATATTTTTTTAGCTCTAAACTTTAGCACGTGTGTTAAAATCGCGCACAGTTCAATAAGTTCACTTGTGAAAGGAATCAACAGAATATTCAGAAACCAAACAGCAACAGGCTATAGCTGCTTAATGCGTGAAGTATGACTTTATTCATTTTTCTACTGGAAAAAACAATATTTTATAAACGTATAAATACGATTATCTTAATAATAGGAAATTGGACTTCATCCATTTTAATTCTGACCACTTCAATTTCAAAAAAATTAGTGTCATTGCTTTTTCAAAAATTAAGACTGTTTTTCAACAAAGAACTATGATTGTCTGCAAATGGAAATGAAATATTCTAAAAGGTCTTAGTTATAAAATTACACCGTACAGTGGAGGATCTAGTTTTTTTTAGGTTGGTGAGACAATGAGAACTTGCAACCGAGAAAAATCAAAGATTTTCCCTGATTTAACAATTGAACAATCTTCAAATTGTCACGGGGTTTATAACAGGACACTATCTCCTCAACGAACACCTCAGTAGATTGAGCCGAGACGACAACCGATCGTGGCATAAACTTTGGTACGGCTGTTGTCGGAGATGGAGAGCTGGCCTCGGTGTAGCCGTCTCAGATACTGGCCTTTGTCAAAGCCCTGAGACTGCATAATGAGTTATAACTCGTTATAACTCAAGAAAGGGGAACACACAATAGATCTGTAAGGTCGCAGTGATTAACTCCCCTCCTAAACATTCAATTAAATAATGTGCATGATTCACGTAAAATATAAAGGGTGTTTCATTTAAATTAAAGAAGTTATTACCGTTTAAAGCTAGTAAGTTAAAATAAATTTTTAGACACTCTGTATAAGGTAGTATTATTTTTATTATTGCAACATAAAATTTAAAATATAGAAAAACTTCAGTACAATATTTAGTTTTAAACCCATTAAATCGTAACCACCGTAATACAAGGCCGTAAAAATCTCGTGACGTCACCAACTGGAGGCCTAACTCTATTTAGCAGCGTTGATAATTACCCGATAAAAGTTCAAATTGTGGATCTTTTTTCACTCAGCAGATATATTTCGAAGTTTTAAAATGTCCTTTTCCGAGTTTTTAAAAATATTATAGTATATAAAAATAGTTTTAATAGAATACGGAAAAAATCATACCAGTCAATAAATGTTTATCTCTCACTTTTTGTCAATCAAATTTAATAAAGGAATATTTTAAGTTCACAATAGTGTATAGTATGAGAAAAAAACAATAAAAAAATATATATTTTTTATAGTATATATTATGTATTTCATCGATATTTTACGCCCCCTACTCAGGGGCGACGGTGCGTAGCGGAGTGGTATTGCCGCAGTTGACAGTCATCGATTTATCGGTAGGTGTGTGGACGTGGTAATTATAATCGATAATAGAAGGGTGAAAAAGTTCTATTTGAAGTTCTATTCAGAAAAAGTAGCTGGGAGTCAGTACAGTATTTGTGTTCGTCATTTATATGAAGGCAAAAAGGAACTTACGATTCAGTCCTTAATGTCCTTAAAATCTACTTGTTTTGGTTCTATAAAAAAAAATTATGATTTTATGATGACAATACTTTGTCTAAAGAAATACCACGCGATACAAGTACCATATTGAATCAGATTGGTTTAACATCGACATTACTATTTCTGAACAAGATATCGAAAGTGTGAAGGAAGAAAGGCCTGTTATTGCTTATTTAGAAGGATATTGCTGTTATATTGTTTTAAAGGAAATTAAATGCGATACATGTAAGAATAATTTAACATTTTCAGACAACACTGATATTCAACAAAATTCACTTATAAAAAAACTTACTAAAAGCAGTCTTGGGTTTCCAAATGATATAGTTTTATTTGAATATATAATTTTATATACCATCACCCAGATGCGACTATGGAGCCGACAGACAAACCGTACGCCACATAGTGGAGGAGTGCGGGATAAGAGCTTACGGTGGGAACTACTCCGATTTCCTGACTGCTGATGACGCTGCAATAGACTATATACGTAATCTTGACGTTTGTATTTAATCTCACTGTATTTATAAATGTATGATAAAGCCATGAGGAGTTTCTCAAAATTCACAATAAAGAAAATATTTTTTTCAAAAATATCTTTGGATTACATTAAAAGTAATAACACCATTATTAAAAGTTCCGCAATGTACTATTTATAATGCTAAGTTACTGTAAAAATTATCATAAATTCTATTAGAAATACACGTCTGAAAAACTACTGTTGGAAAAAAATGATAGACTTGGAAAAGGAAATAAAAGAAACTTAGACACCCTTACAGCATAAATAAATACAATGACGATGGATAATGTGAGATGGGATATCAATCTGATGTTTTTTAAATTTTATGTATAATTATTATTTATTAAAAATTCGGTGCAATTAAAGTTTATATCCATTATATACCTATAAAGTTTAGGCCTCCAGTTGATGACGTCACGAATAAGCTGCCCGGCCTTGTTATTACGGTGGTTACGATTAAATACGCCCAGAGAAATGAAGCATTAAAATTGTTACTGCATTTTCACAAAACAAATATTAAGTATTAAAATTACCTGATATCCAAGTTCCATTAAACCTTGCAGGAGATGGCAGTTTCAAGAAGATATCCTCTAGGTTAGGTTTAGTTCCTTTGCTTCTGGGACACTCTTCGGGTGGAGAAACCAGTACTATACTGAATACTATCAGCCCCAAAACGGCCGCTATCACCAGCAGCGCTATGAATATCCCCCTCCAGTTTCTTTCGCTAGGTGAGCTGACCACCAATTCCTGCAATTAAAAGAAAACATCTTATGTTGGAGGTCTCTAAAAATGTAATTATACAGTATGTCCCCGGATTGTCTTTACAAGAGGAAAAACTTTTAATATTGGCATTTTGAGAAAAGTGCATTCTTCTTAAAAAAATGTTGCTTGTTCTAAAATGGTCCCTTTATACTTTTAGTCTATTACGTCGGATGCGCTCGACAGAAGCAATATTATGGAAATTTGGGGAGAATAGGTTATGTAAATGAAACGGTAAATTTGTAAATAGCCCTACTTATTTTATTATATCAAATGAAAGGAGTATCGTACTCTGCCTGGAATTCACAAGTAAAAAAGCACGGCAGAGAAAACCTTCATGACTATTCCAAAGAATCCATCTATGCTGTTCTGAACTTTAATAAAAGAGAAATAATAATAATACAAATACTTTCTTTCATACCAAGGTCTAAGGTTACATTCAAAACATGTCACATTTATTACATTCAAAACAGAAAAGGTTTTTGTTAGTTTAGCAGGTCCCCACCGGCAGGTACTAAGGTCTCTTGTTGCGAGTCTCGAAGCTGAAGTTGAAGATTTGGTGAAAATATCTTTAGATTATGACATATTCTATTCTTTGGTTTTGATTGCTCATTTGTTTGCTAAGATATTCGCCCAGTCACGGTCGAAAAATGTTAGTACACTCAACAAGGCTCCTATTTTCACACTGAATAAAAACATCGGCATGAATGGACAGTAAACGAATGTATTGAGATTACTTTTAAACTGAAATTAGTCACAACATAAATCAATTCCATTAGATACATATACATGTTATAATTATTACGTTTGTCAGATCAAATAAATAAGGAAAATCTTAAACACAGAATATTACAACAAGAAAATAAAATATATTTTTAGTTAACATTAGTTAAATAATGAGTTACCTTTAGAAACTTTCTTTGTTACAAAACTTACAGACCAAAAAATATTAATGCGTCTCGAACGGTCTAAAAGCTATTACATTTATGTTACGTTACACCTATGATCTCTGTTCAATGTTTGATTTTCATGTCCCTAGTTTGCATACAGGGTTGTTCACCACATACGACGCGGAGTATTGTAGCTAAACTCTTAGATTTTCGCAAATTGTAAGTTTTGGGTTCGTTGAAGGACTATTATATATTTTTTTATGTATATTTTTTTAAACACCCTGTACTTTATTACATTTTTAGTTTCTACGATTAAAATAAAGGTATATTTGATTAAGGTTTACCGCATTTTAATCTTACCGTTTTTGAAATATTTAGGTTTTTGTCAAAATACAGTAATAATTTTAATACTGTATTTTTCCAGGCGTATTTAAGTTTTTAAAACCAAATATTGTACTGAAATATTTCTATTTCCTAAATTTTGTGTAGCAATAATAAAAATTATAATACCTTATACTGAGTGTCTAAAAATGTATTTTAAATAATAACTAGCTATAAACGTCAATAAATTCTTTAATTTAAATGGAACACCCTGTATATTTTATGAGAATCAGATGCACAAGTTAATTGTCTATCAATTTGTATGTATGTGTTATATCATTTTTTACCTACATATGTCTTTTATCATTTTCTTATAATTTTGACCTCAATTATCAATATAACCATGGAATATTGACATTTTTGATTATTTTTAAAGATGTAGCAAATTTTTAAAAGGTACAGATACTAATATTGTCGATATAGTTCGTTTACGTCATTAAAAATTAAAAAAATGGTTTCAATATTTGTAAAAGAAGACCTATTAATATGATTCCAGTATTCAAACTACATTAATTGACTGTTTACGTTGATTAATAATAATTGTTCGAAATACTAAAAAACTTAATTTTGTATGTGTATTAGAATTAGACAGTGTGGTAAAAAGTAACACCTTAAAAATTTTATTTCATTTTTTGACGGCTGCTTATTTATAACAACAGAGACGTTTATTTTCATAACTTATTATTATATTGATTTCTGATTCCAAATCCACATTTATTTAGAATAATTTATTAACTAACACAATTAAATATGTAATTAATTAATATTTTGGCGGAAAAAATGGTGGTATATTTAATTAATGGTATACTCTTTTATAATGATTTAAGTTTTATTTTTGTATACCATTAGGCTGGTAATATTATCGTTTTTAGCACCTGTATATTTGATGCTTTAAAAACAATCTAAAATGAGGCCTAAATTATAAGAAAATGCATTTTCTACGAAAACTTGAAGGGATAGTTAAAAATGGTATTTGTAACACAATTTGATGGACAATTAAATTGTGTATCTGATTCGCCTAAAATATACAGGGTGTTCTATTTAAATTAAAGAAGTTATTGCCGTTTAAGGCTAGAAATTATTTAAAATAGATTTTTAGACACTCTGTATGAGGTAGTATTATTTTTATTATTGCAAGACAATAACTGATCAATAATTTCAAATCAAAACTTCAGTAAATATTTAGTATTAAAAACTTTGATACCCTTCGAGAAATGAAGCCTTAAAATTTTTACTGCAATTTCACAAAATTAAAAATATTTTAAAAACGGTAAGGTTTAAGGGTGATAAACCTTAATGAAATTTACCTTTATTTTAATCATAGAAACTAAAAATGTAATATACAGGGTGTTCCATTTAAAAAAATACAACTTTGATATTTTTTATTTATTTGGGACACTCTATATCTTGTAAAAATATTTTTAAATTGTAGCTCTAATAGTCCTTCAACGAACCCAAAACTTACAATTTGTAAAAATCTAATCGTTTAGCTACAATACACCGTGTCGTATGTGGTGAACAACCCTGTATACATAAATATTTTAAAAATCTCAATAAATAAAAATAATACTTTTACCTGTTCTTTACCAGCTATATTCAAAACAAATTATAATACGAATGCAACTAGGTGTAACGATTATATTCGCTCGTTAGTTAATTGGGAAGTTAATATCTAAGTTTATAATTTGTAGAGGCTAAGCTTTTCAAGTGAAAAGATATATTTCCAATTATATTTACTGCCGCTTGAACAATATTTTGGCTAGAAGTAGGTATAATTATATCAATAATTTTGAATATATTTATGTTATTATATGCATTTAAAAAAAATGAGGTATAGTCCTAGATCATAGGGTATAGTATTCATAATATTGCGATGTTGGCGACGATATTGTTGTTGGCGACGCCATAAAAATATAATCTGTATAAGATAAAATAAATTTTTCCTCGCGGGCTTATTCTGTTATCCTTGATGTTTAAGAAAATCTAGCTAAGCCTTAATTATGTTGAATTCACTCTAGATTTTAACCACTTTTGTGATATAGTGCTTTTAACTAAAGTTTCAGTAAATATGAAATAGAATGGCAACACCGCATAGTGCTGGAAAATTGGAGGAATTTAATTTAAAAATAGATGCAGTTTTCCTTAAATTATTTAAAATCGGCTTGTCCAAAATTATTCAAATTTGGTATGGGTATTTAGCATAGGCAGACCTCTAAAAACCTATTTACAAGTTAGCTGTAAATAGGTTCATACAGTTCAAAATTGGCATGGGATTTCCTGTTTCCAACGACGCACAGTGGGGTATTTGACACAGATAGTTGATCGAAATTTTTTTATGCAAGCAAAACAATTTTCTTTTTACTTTTTTTTTTTTTTTTAATTTTTTCTCTACTTTCGATTTTTCGAAATTAGAAAAAATACACAGCTAAAGGCAAGAAAATATTATTTATTAATATACACTAAAGCTGTAAGAATTTTGTTCATTTCATATATTTGAGCGGGCCGAAAAACGCTCTTTACCATCTTTTGACGGGAGATGCACTAATATCTCACCGACACTCTACGACATCGTCTGTGGATATAGAAGAAGTTTTGCTTGCCGTATCGGTGAGAACCAGCCCCTGGACAGCCCACCTGATGAAGGGTAGGCCCAGAAACCGGTTGTGGGAGTGGAGCTTGGTTCCCCCCTTTACGACAAGTAAAACAATTTTCTTTTTACTTTTTTTTTTTTTAATTTTTTCTCTACTTTCGATTTTTCGAAATTAGAAAAAATACACAGCTAAAGGCAAGAAAATATTATTTATTAAATTTTTTTATATTGACCTTATATAAATTATTGCTATTTTCAATTAAAGAGGAAATAATATGAAGAAAATAAAGAATAATTCGTCGATTCTAAAAAAAAGAAAGAAAAACCTCGCATTAGTATATCACTGATTGGCAAATTAGAAGAAACCAAGAATGTTTTTCTCATTTTATCAGCAAAGTCGCAAAAAGTCGCAGTATTTTATTTTACTGTATGAAAGCCCAATGTTTACTAAGTAAAACGTATATAGACAATATGCTGAATTCTTCGAAATGCGCAACTAAACCTCTAAGTATAATAAAAATGTCACAAATTTAATCAAATTTTCTGAACGCCTAACTTTTAGTTGCAAAAAAAATCGTTAGTATAGAGAATATCAAAATAAATTATACGTTTTTGTAGAATACATACCTGCAGCTTGCTGAGCCATTTTCAATCAAAACATAATATAAACGTAAAAAGAGCACAAGAACAACAACAATTTATAATTTTAAACATACAATTTAGCCATTTACCTCTTATCTGTGAGAAGTAACAACTTTGACGTTTCGTTGAAACGAATGAATGCAACTAAACACACCCATTGCAACGACATTCATGGCAGACATGATTTAACTTATCATTCATCTTTTTTTGGGAAATCTTAAACACATTTGCTTTTTCGAATTTCGATCACTTTTTTCATGCTAATACCCTACCGTGCGACCATGCACCACCCGGTATATCCCCAAAGTTTTAAAAAAAATATCATCAATGTATTGAACATTTTCCAGAATCTAGCACATCATTCGAAGCGAGAATCCAATTAGAACCATATTTCTATTGTCCAGCAAAGTAAACCCATTAAACTTGTATGCCGGAATAGCATAAAGAGCAGATGCTATTGTTTTGTGAAATTGGATTTTTGATGC